AGTCATCTGGAAGGAACCATTGCTCACTCCTCTGTCTCTCTCTCTTTCTATCTCTCTCTGTCTCTCTCTCTCTTTCCGTCTGTCGCTCTGTCTCTGTCTGTCTGTCTCTGTCTCTCTCTCTCTGTCTGTCTCTCTCTGTCTCGGTCTCTCTCTCTCTCTCTCTGTGTCTGTCTCTCTCTCTCTGTCTCTCTCTCTCTGTCTCTCTCTATCTCTACAAACATAAACAGACCTGCCCTGTCGCCATGGTAACAGCCCTCCTCCCCTCTGGGTGTGGTAGAGAGACATTAACGAGAGAGAGAGAGAGAGAGAGAGAGAGAGAGAGAGAGAGAGAGAGAGAGTTAACCCTTTCAGGTCACTCTAATCTTTCATTTATTCAAATTTAGATCACATTTAATCTCCAAATATTTATGGACAGATTTTCTGTATTATTTTATTCATGTTTGTTTTTATTATTTTAATATTATATAAGAAAATATATAAGATTAATTTTCATTTTTTATTTATTACATTTTAGATTCAAATGTTTGTTTTTTGATTTAAAAGTTTCCTTCAGAACGATACAAATAAAAGGATTTTTATAATCTGTGTTGTTATTTATTACATATGATTAATTTTAAAACAATAGAAGTCAAGTGGAGCATTAATTTAATTTAATTTAATTAATTAATAAAGCAGTAAAGATGAAGTCCGTCTGTATTTAAAGTCAAACAGAGAAATTGTTCATGTGGCAGTGAAGCAGTTAAAGGTGTGGACGTTTCCACAGTTGGGAAGTTACATGGAAAGTTTTCTCTGAGCCAACCAATCAGAGGGCAGCACACTCACACACACACACACACACACACACACTCACACACACACACTCACACACTCACACACACAAAGAGGTGGAGATCAGTATTTTTCTGCAGCAGAAAGACTTTCTGGAGTTTTGCTTCAACTCTGAGTCGTCTCTCTGACGAGTGAGGACAGTCATGGTGACCACGGAGACCCACCAGACCCAGGACCTACTGGTCCCCCCTCTGAACCATGACCAGCAGGACCAGCAGGACCAGCAGGAGGACGACCAAGTCTCTCCCTTATCCGCCCTGGTAGGATTTGACCCCGAGACGATGAGTCAGGGTCCCGTCAACGCCATCACAGTCCTCACTCTGCTGGACAAACTGGTCAACATGCTGGACGCCGTTCAGGAGAACCAGAACAAGATGGAGGTGAGCCAGGGGCCACACCTTAAAATCAGGCCTGACTGTGGGGATCCAGTACAGACTTTAGTAAAGACTCCAGTACAGACTTCAATACAAACACCAGTACAGACTCCAGTACTTCACCACACCTGTACTAAACTGTGTACCAGCTCCAGTACTAACTCCAGTACAGACTCCAGTACAGGAACCAGAACTAACTCCAGCACAGACTCCAGTACAGACTCCAGTACAGGAACCAGAACTAACTCCAGTACAGACTCCAGTACAGGAACCAGAACTAACTCCAGCACAGACTCCAGTACAGACTCCAGTACAGACATGTGTAGTTAAGACATGTTATGTTTTAGAGAATCCTTCCAAACCAAACTCTACTAAATAAACTTTAACTTCAACTGTTGACATGGAAACACTTTCTATCCATTTCAGAATCATCTTTTTGATTGTCTCTTTAACTTTAAGTCAGCTTGTTTCTGCGTTTCTGTTCCTTTGATAAATGTTTCGCAGACAAAGATCTGATTCAGAGGTCTCGTGACCCTCAGCAGCACTCAGAGGTTAAATTTAACTGGTTACCAGATGTTTCACTCTGCTGTGACTGTAGATTCCTCACATGTTTCTCATATCAAGAAGCTTCAGCTGAAAGTCTTTGCTCACAGAGAACTCATTTAAAACAAACATTGTTTCATAACTTTGACCTTTAGCTGCATTTTTAACTGAAGCACGAAGCAGACAAACTGCTTCCTGTTGTCTGGATTCATTCATGTTCAGGCTGGTTTGGTGGAAACAATAAAAGTGAGCGACAGAGCTACAGCAGTGAGTGTACTGGTAGTAATGTTAGCATTCAGCTGTTAACCAAACACATTGTCCAATGTTTTAAAACAAAAACCATCTCCGTCCTAACGGGCGTTTCAGCATCGTTTGCGAAATGCAAACCTGAAAACGAAATATCACGACTATTCACATACAACACACAGGAACAAACAGGAAGTAGATTGGTTGCTTAGTTACAGAAAATACAACAGAGTATTGTAGTTTTCTTTCATAATAAAAGGTTGTGTTTAATACTTAAGATCTTCCTCTAAAATCTTCCTCTATAACTCAAACACAAATTTCATGGAAAGTTTAAGAAGTTTTATTTTTCAGACTTAGTTACAACTCTGCGGGTCTCTCTCTTTCTCTCACACATCAAATTTACTTTAAAATGAACACTTAGAATTCAAAGTTTACGAGATTATGCGTCCATAAATGAGGTCATCACACGTCCCTCACTCGTAGCTCTGCTGGTGTCTGAAGTCTCTGTCGACCTGGATAACAGTTATGCTTTTGTTCCTTTACAGTTTGTGTGAACTTCACAATAGTTGTGCAGAACAAGATAAGAATTAATTACTGACTTCAAACGTCCGCTACGTATGTGAGCTGGAGACTGGACAATAACAGCTGCTTCATCCTCATGTCGGCAGTAGTAGAATTATAAAATGCTGACTGTAACTGAACAACAGCTGGTAGTAAAGACAACAACATCAGTAACACCTGTGATCAGTTATGTTGAATTAACCTGGTAGGCAATTGGTAATCAAGGTTTCCAGATCTTCTGGAGAGGGTCACGTGATCGGGGCATGATTTTCCTGGTGGAGCTAACATTAGCTAACATTAGCTAGCATTAGCTTACATTAGCTAGCATTATCCCTCCAGGTGATTCAGGAAGCTTCTAAAACTTCAGTCATTGGTTGCTTGTGTTCCAGGTGCATCAGGTGGAGATGGAAGGTGTGGTCAGAGGGATCCAGGCTGATATGACCAAACTCTCCAAGAGCCACAGTCACACCTCCAACACCGTCAGCAAGCTGCTGGACAAGAGCCGCAAACTGTCCGTCACCATGAAGGAGGTAAATATATCACACCTGTTTCTAAATGTATCTTCACACCTGTATCTAAATATACCTGTACCTATACTTATACCTTCACCTGCTCCTGAAGGTTCGTGATAAGATGGAGCGTCAGGGTCACCAGGTGAGGAAGTTGGAGGCGAACCATCATCACCTGATCAGCAGGAACAACTTCAAAGTTCTCATCTTCCAGGTGAGTGTGATGAAGGGTCAGTTAAAGGTTTAAGTTCTCCAGTTCTTTCGACATCTGTAGAATTCTTTCTAGAGTGTATGGTTCTCCACTGATAGCATTGTTCCCTCATCGATAGTAAAGCTCTCCACAGACCTTTTTTCTTCACAGACATTAGTTCTCCTCAGACAGTGGTTCTCCACAAATACGTTCTCCACATAGTATGGTTTTCCAGTGATAGTAAAGTTCTCCAGAGAACTTTTTTATCCACAGACAGTATGGTTCTCCAGCTCTCTCTTTGTCTGTTCATTTTCAATCTGTGGCCTTATTTGGTCGTTGGCTGCTGCAGGAAGTGAACTTGAGGTCTGAGCTGTCATCATGTGATCTGGTTGTCACGGTTACAACAAAGTGAGTTATATTAAAGTCAGACTGCTGACAACCACAACTACAGTTTATTATAGGTAATAACATGTTATTATTGGTGAGTAAAGGTAACTAAGTACTGTACTCTGTTTACAATGTGTACTGTACATGGTGGTCATGTGTTCTAACCAGCTGCAGATCATTACTGCAGCATTAGTGTTTCATGCGTATCGTGTGTCTGTCTTATTTCACCAACACTTAACATTCCTGTCCTCCCTAAGATACCCAGCATTCCTCACTGCATGTGTGGCTCAGTGGGTGTGGTTCTCTGTCAGCGTTTCACTCTTTCAGCTCTTCATCCTCCTGTTTGTGTTGTTGTTTTGTTCTTCTGTCTTAAAAGTCTTTTTACACAAACTGGAAACTGCTAAATGGACAAAAGTATGTGGACAAACCTGTCGAGGTTCCACTATTGGCTCACATTTTTGAATATGTTTTTTTAAGGAACCCCTTATGTTCCCTGGGCGCATTTCTCAAACGCCCAGGTTCCCCTAAAGTTCACCTTACCATTTCCTACGGTTCCCCCACAGTTTCTCTCAGGTTCCCGAAGTTTCTGTAAAGGTCTTACTGAAGCTCCTTTAACCTCATGCTGAGGTTCCACAAAGGGCCCAGTAACATTCTCCAGGTTCCTCAAATATTCCCTCTTCTCGTCTTCAGGAGGAGAACGAGATCCCCTCCAGTGTCTTCGTGAAGGATCCTCCTCCGTTCCCTCGTGATGAGATTTTGGAAGAAGGCGATGAAACGATGGCGGGCGTCACCGACGGCAACCGTTCCCAGGAGGGCGGGCTTCACACCATCGACCTATCGTCTGATGAGGACGTCGGGCTGGAGGCGGAGCTAGAGGACGAAGAGATGTGGCCTCACGATCTGGAGAACATGGAGAAGTCCAGAGCGGAGAAACTGAAACATTCCAGTCTGAAGAAGGTAAGAAACACAGACAGGCACACAGGCAGACAGAGAGGCGTACAGGCAGACAGACAGGTGTTATAGTTCTTCTCTCTGCAGGTCGACAGTCTGAAGAAGGCGTTCTCCAGGCAAAACATCGAGAAGAAGATGACCAAGATCGGAACAAAGATTGTTTCTCAGGAACAACGAGAGAAGATCAAGAAGAGAACCTCCAGTCTGAAGGTTTCACCTCTGACCTTCAGCATCAGGAAGGTAGTCTGTGTTCTTCTGTTACTCCAAGAACCAGCAGGTTCTATTAAGTCCTCTTCAGACTGATGGGCCCTAAGGTTCCTCTAATGTTCCTCTATGGTTCCCACAAAGTTCCTCTAAGGTTCCTCTAACATTCCTCTATGGTTGCTCTGAACATTTTCCAAAGGCACCCCAATTTTGCCGAAAGTATCCTGGATCAATCCTCAAGGTTTGACACCAGGTCCCCTTAAGGTTCTCTCTAGTCCTCACAGCTGGTCCACTAAAGATCCATAGGGTTCCCGTGTGGTTCCACTTCCTGTGACCTTTGGTTCTCTGTGTTTTCAGCCTCGGAGCAGCTCCGACTCTCAGCCCCCCCGATGCCTCTCTTCAGGTGGACGACTCTGTGGTCGTCGAGGCCGACGTCGACCTCTCTCCACTAGGCGACACTGACCAGGAGGTCTCTTTCACCGAGGTCCATGCCCAGCTGGCTCCGGACGAGCAGGAGTTGAAAGAGGAGGAGGAGGAACAGGAGGAGGAGAAGAAAGAAGAGGAACAGGATAAGGAGGAGGAGCAGGAGAAAGAGGAGGAGGAGAAGGGAGGTGTGGAGGATCTGTCGGTGGTCTCAGAGGGAGTCAGTGAAGACTACACTCTGTCCTCCACGCTGCCTCAAGAGGAGAAAGAGGAGGAACCCTGAACACTCAGATTGTTCAAGGAACGGTTCAACATTTAGTGAAGTTCCTCTCTGGGAGTCAGATCAATCATTTATTATGACCTCACAACCATCAATGATGTTCAGATTGTTTCCATGTTTCCACCTCAGCATGAAGACAGCTAGCTTAGCATAAACAGCAAGTTAGCTTCCTCAGAGAGAAGTAGAGTTCACTAAATGTTGACCTGTGCCTTTAAAGTGTTATTAATGGATAGAACCATGTAACTCCAACATTTTAATTTTTCTGATTTTTAAATTTAGGTTTTGAATGAAGTCTGAGAATTTTCAGTTTATTCTTCAACTGATCTGAAAACCTAAAAAATAAAAACATCACTAAATTTGGAGTTACACGTTCTCTTCTTGTCAAATTTATCTGGTCAAATTATTTTTTATTCTTGTTATCACTGATATAAAAATAACCAAACTAACACTCAGCTAATCAATCAAACTAACATACATACATTAAGAAACCATAGAACTCAATCACTGAAAACATGGTGCTGAACAGATGTTCCTCTGATGTTGCATTCATTATAACATTATACTTGCTTTGAGGTTCCTCTAAGATTCTACTACCGTTTCCCATTTTCTCAAGGTTCCTCAAAAGGTCGGCCTAACATTCCCCAAAAGATACCTGTTTTCACTAAAGTACCTCTATCGTTCTCCAATGCGTGACCAAGGTTCCACCAGAGTTCCCATAACGGTTTTTGTGTTTTATTCCTCCAAGGTTCCTATAATGTTCCCCTAAATTCGTCCAAAGTTTCTCTATTGTTTCACAAATTTTTCCCCCGGGTTCCACCAAGGTTTCTCCAATGTTTCCCTAAGATCTCCTTAAGTTCGCCCCAAAGTTTCTCCAATGTTTCACAATGTTCTCCCCCGCATTCCTATAAGGTTTTAATGATTCCCCTAAGATGCCTCTAGGTTCATCCAAAGTTTCTCTAATGCTTCACAAAGTTTTCCCCCGGGTTCCTCCAAGGTTCCTCTAATGTTCCCCTGAGACCGTCCAAAGTTTCTCTAATGTTTCACAACATTTTGCTCCGGGTTCCTCTAATGTTCAACTAGGTCTGTACAAAGTTTCTCTCATGTTTCACAAAGTTCTCCCCCGGGTTCCTACGAGGTTCCTCTAACATTCTACTTGGGTTCCCTTCTGAGGTTCCCTCACATTTCCACTGAGGTTCCTTCAAGGTTCCCCCTAGCTTTTTCTTAAGGTTCCTCTCACGTTCCCCTGAGTATGTGTGTTGATAGCTACACTGAATAATAACCAGCCTGTTGATAATTGATCTGCTTATTAACTACACAAAAGTATTAACAACTGAAACAGTGGCAGAAACACTGATCAGCAGAACTGATCAAACAGTTTGATCTGTGACACAATCGATTTAGTATTTAGTATGTAAGAGGAAGGTTAAATACTCAGTATTTATGTACACATACATATATATATATATATATATATATATATATATA